GACCCTTATCTTGACCTCTTGCTGCACATCACACGCCATGTCTCCACACGCAACTAACCCTAGTATGAGGTTGGGACCCGTTTTTCCCCCTGGTACCCACCGCATTTGAGGTATCCCTTCCTCATTCCCATCTCGTGGCACTTTTGGCTCAGCGACCCACTCAGTTTCTGCGTACCATCCTGTTCTCTTTTTGACTTTCGGCCTTTGACATTATGGACCCCGACTACTACTGGTACCAACAAATGCTGCAGCAGCAACAACTTGCCCAGTCGCAAGTCTCTCAAACATCCCCAGCAACCTATACACCTTCGGCCACAACCTATGGACCCATTTCCCAGGCGTTGCGCACATCCGCCACCGCCCATCCATACCCTGCTACCACGCAGGATTTTCCCCCACCGCCACCTCCCCCCCGCATTCAATGCCACCACTCCTACATCACCAGGGCCAGACATGGTGACTCCCCCGCGCACGGCTCCGACCTCTTCGCCATCGCCACCCGTGGGCATTCCTTTCCCGGAGCCCCCCATCCCCGAAACCTGGCGGCAGACCGCAGAACACTGGGATGCAAACGAGTCCGGAGGGCAAAAACCACACAAACACATCCAGCCATCGGCATGGAGCCGCAACCGCTGCTGGATTGCCCACCTTCCAGGTATTTCCCTGGCTGCTGGCGTACCGCGGCACCTCCGACTACACTGCCGGCACCTTATCAAACGGCAAGTACACCAGCTTGGCGCCTACTCGTTCCATTGCCGAATCGGTCTTCCTGACCCACTTGATTCAGCGCGTCCGCGAACAGCACATCGATCTGGACGCAACCGCCGAAGCCTTACACCGCACCGCAGGCAAGACCCCTCCATCCAAGACGACCGACGCTAAAGCATTTACGCAACCGCTGATGGGCGTCCTTCTTACCACCATCAGACACCATGCCCCTGCGCCCGCAGAAGGCCGTGCCATACTACACACCCGAGAAGCTGAACTTCAGCGCGCCAAAGAAAAACTTCAAGCACGCGGCCTCCAGCTTTCACTACAGCGTCCACCCCTCCGACGCACAGGCCTGCGCCCACGACCGCTTCCCCTAGCACTGCCGCGCCCGCCACTGCAGCCCCACCGCCGCCAGCATCCGCCCCACCGGCGGCTTCCGAACCCTGACCATTGCCCAGGTGCTGCAACCAGACTACCCATCGTTGAAGGATGACGTCCCCACCAAATGGACCGCCCCATACATCAACACCTGGACCAAGCAATTCGACGAGATCATCCAGGAGTCCGCTAACGAGATCCTCAAACTTCTTCAGTCCTCTGGTGCCACTGAAATCCAACTCCAAGAAGCTGCATTCCGCTATGGCATCCCGCTTCTCAAGGTCACCAAAGGGAATCTTCGCAGTTTGCAGCAGCTGGTAGCCATCGGGGCCGCTATGGCTTGTTGACTCGCATTCCTCAGCAGCCGAGGACCAACCCACACACTACTCCACCAGTTACGCACACTCCACAAGGCTTTATCCCACATCCAACACCACGCCCACTATACATCGACCGCGCAGAAGCCATATATGCAGTTGGATTGCTCCACTTGGCCGCTTTATTCTACTATCCATCTCCTACTTTCCGGTCCAAACAATGGCGTTCGCGCCTACAACAGCTTCGTATCCACCCAGACCAGCACACCTTTTCCCAATTCCTTGCTCCAAATTCGGTCTACATCAAACTCTATTTCAACTCCCACGACACACAAAGATGCTATCACCAACACGGACATTGCTATGTAGGCTCCACTGCCATCGGCATTCCCGGCCGGGAGCACAACCGGCAAGCGAAACTCAAACAACTCTCCAAGAACACACCTATCTCTGCAGAATTATCGCTCCGCTACTGGCACACCACCTGCACCATCACCCACTTCTTCACTATTCACATTGCCACTTACACCGACTACGACCAGGCCTGGATCCACGAACATCTCTACATCTCACAATGGCAGCCCACACTCAACTGGCCTTACATTTCACAACACTTAAAACTCAAGGCGGAAGGCTGGCAATTCAGCCGGCACCGAGCCCATTTCTTCCCTCGGCTCGCCAACCACTTCCGACCATTCCGACGACTACGCCGCCGCTTGCACACCACCAACCAACCTATCCTTTACGCGTCCCACAAGCTTCACGCACTCACAGTGCTTCGCGACCTGACCATGATCACACCCTCGCTTCCTTCGAAGCTGCACGTCAATTGCGCTCTGGCAGATACAGTGACCTCGAAATCTACGCCGTTCGCCGTATGGCCACCAGCCTGGAAGAACCCGGACGCAGCCGAGCTACACATCTCATCAACCAGACGCTGAGATATCGCAATCTCACCCCACCCAAGAGCAATCTCCCATTCACCATACCATTTCTTGCCCACACCAGCTTCCAAGCCGACACCCAGCGATGGCTCGCCAAGATCCTCAACCAGCACAAATCTTTTGCCATCCCCCTTCACCTTCCCACCTGCCGCCTTCGAGAAGCAGCACATCCCACTCTACGCAGCCGTCTCCACAACCACCGCCGATGGGAAGACCACCTTGGGAACCCTCCCCAAGTCGACCAGCTCCCGTGTGGCTGCAACCACCTTCGCAGCCTTCTCTCACCGGACCACCCCACCCCAGAGGATGAACATTTGATCATCACCCTGGCCGACCTACAGCTCCCAACTCATCTTCGTCGCTTCTTGAACGCCAACATGAACAGCACGTTCTTTCCCACCAAACGTTGCTACTGGGACACTTTTCGACTCAACTTCACCAAATGGCTACGCCATAATGGCCTCCCCATCACCTTAGTCCACCACGCCGACTCTTTCCTCACCACACAATGGGCCACCCACCTTTTTCACCTCACACAAGAAGACCGATTCACGGCCAGATCCATCAAACAACTCCAAGAATTTTTGGGCGACAACGTCGTCCTTCATCTCCGCATTTTCTGTCCACACATTTACTTCCGAGGATGCCTAGCCACATGGCAATCACCAGAGCTTTTCCAACCACTGCCAGACGACACGGACCAGACTATTTCCAGCATCATACAACAAACATACCCTGCATCCTTGCGCAAAAAAATACAAATGGGGCTTCATCGCCAACTTCAAAATGCCCTACGGTGTCGTTCACCTGAAGGCCAAGAAGCAATGGAAGAAAGGCCGTACCATCATCTCGTACTTCAAGTCCCATTACGGGCCATGGTTGCGCATCACCTCCAACGTCCTCAACTCCATGATTTATCGGCTTCTACCTCAATTGCCAGGACAACTCTCGATACCACAACTATGGCGCCATTTCCACGCCTACATTGATCAAGTTCCAGTCTCTGTGGACCTCTACGCAGTCAACGACGACCTTGTGGGCTTCTTCAACTCCGTCCCTCAAAACAGACTGATCGACGCGGTTCAGAGCCTGGTGAACCGCTGGCAACATACATTCGACACTCCCACCATCACAGTGGACACCCACACCACCGGTGATCCCATCCAACTGGCACACATTGGCCGCCGCCACCGCAAACACCCAACACAACGCACCCTGGACACCAGCGACATTGTTACTATCGTATCCCTGGCTCTAGATTCATGCGTCTTTAAAGCCTGCAATCTCTATTTCCTACAGGTACGTGGGGCCAGGATTGGATCCCAGCTATCTCCTGCGTTGCGCAATGTCGCCATCACGCTGATTGAACACTTATGGCATCAACTACACCATTCCCTCACTGATCACACCGAGATCCACTTCGTCTACTACCGCTACGTTGACAACCGCTTTATAGCCTTCAACCGGACATTCCTCACACACCTTGCCATCCATACCCTTGTCCACCCAGACTTCTATGGCAACCCGGTGGAGCTCGAGCCGGTGGAAGACATGCACCTCCTAGGCTTTGACGTGGACCTTCGTCAACGGACTATCACCTACATACCTCCGGACGCTCCATGGAAAATTCGCGACCAGGCTTCAGCGGGTTCTACACGTCTTCGACTTTCAGGTTTTCATTCCAGAGCCCATCTCATCCGCAAGTACACCTACCCCTCCTCGGCTGTTGAGCGAGCGCTCGCTCAACTCGCAACCTTGTACGTCAAAAAAAGGACATGATCTTCATAGCTGTCGACGAGCACAAGAGCACTACGAAAAAGTCCGCACTCCAAGTTACGGATCCCTGTGTGAATCACCTTCCTCCCCTCGCTCCCTGCGGCCGACCACGGCCATCTGTGTGTGTGTCACCGCCTGTCTCCAAGGCTTTCCTCACGACGCACCTACGACAGTTTTGAATCGATTCTTTTTACCTCCCCCCAAGTTCCACACTTTTTGTAGCAGGGGGACTGTCTACCCCACAGAAGTAACAGTCCAACGAAGAGGCTTCTGTGGTGGTACTGATATCACTGGGGACGTCCAGTGACGTACTTGCATCAATTTTTAATGTTTGATCGCCACCAGTGTTTAGCAGTAGATGATCCAAAAATTGTTAAACATCTTCAACTCGGCGGACCTTTTCACCTTTCCGTTCTGCATTTTTTCCGTTCCATCGAGTCAAGGTCTAATGCGTGTAAAGGGGGACTTCGTCAACTGATTCAGCTCTTGCGAGCAACTATCTATATAAGTGTGTTGCTTTGGACATCTATCCAAAGGGTCCAAATATGTCCAAATCCTTTCACCTCACCAAGCAAACTGGATAGCAACTATTGCAAGATTGCAAGATTGCAAATGACGTTATTCCTTCAGCAGCGTTGCAAGCAAATCTCGTTCTCTTGTGCCTAAAATTGAGAACCTACCCCAAGCCACTTTGAGGAACTTACCCCTTAGGGTGGAGGTCTAGCAGTGGATAATTCACTGGGTAGCTGATTCCATCCCCCAGCCAAAACTTGCTAAAGAGAGTAACTCCAGCTAGCTCAATCTAGCTTTCGTGACTACAGGAATGCGTTGTCTAGTCTCGTTCTTGCAAAAAAACATGCGTCCGTTCTCAAGCCTTCAGAACCGATCTCGGCATCCATCCCAACTGATATGACAATGAGCTCTTCAAGCCCCTTGGCGTTGTCCACGGAATCCAGAATGATGCACTCCTCCTTGCAGTTCTCCACCGTATCTGATGTCACTATGTAAGACAACGACTCCTCAAAGTCAATGAACCGCAAATTCTTGCCAGCAAGCTCATCTTGGTCAGCTGGGTCTGGCTTCCTTGGTGGCAACAGCTGCGCAGGCAGCGGAGGCGGAGGCAGCAGAGGCCGAGGCAGCGGAGCCGACAGCTGCGGAGGCCGAGGCAGCGGAGCCGGGAGCTGTGGCGTTTTGTGTTGGACAAGAAAACTCTTGTGTGTAATTGGGTCGCGCAGCACCTTCTCCAAAACAGGCTTGAACCTGTTGAGAAAATCAGGGTTGGGAACGATGATGGCCACGCAATGATGAAGCCTTAGGTCTGGATATGATGAGATCACATGCCGGAGAGCAGAGATGGTGTACCGGCAATACTCTTGGAATGGTGGCGAAGGCGATGCCGCATCTTCTGGCTCAAACAGGAAGGTCTTCAAAGGTGGACCAGCGCAGCTCGAGGAGCTTTCATCAGTTGGCAACTGCTCGGAAGACTCGGGAGGCAATTGAAAAGATTTTGCACCCAGAACGATTCGGTCGGTGCTGCGAACCACTTGGCTGAGATGTTTTTCCTGAAATTGGATTTCTTTAGGATAGTTTTGCTTCACGGCCCCCGACTGGGATGCGTCCGAGAGGAGGATCCTCTGCTTGGAGCTGTGCAACAAAATCTCTCTAAGCACTCCTTGCTCGACATCTGTGCGAAAAATGTCGTGAGCCTCATCCACAATTGAAAGCACAAACTGAATGTTCGGGCCTTCATCCTTTGCAAGTTCTATTTTATTGCCTTTGAGGCTAGCAGTCATGCAACTGTTGTAGGGAGCATACATGAGCCTAAGCCGTGCAAACTGCTTCACCACATCTGCTTCATCTCCGCCATGCATTGCCACAAACCACTGGAGGAAGTGCAAACACAAGGCCTTCGTGGGAGCGACGAACAATACTTGACCTTCTGAATTTGCGTCCAGCGTCAAAAGAACCTTCCGCACTGCCACGAAGGTCTTGCCTGATCCAGCTGCCGCTGAGAGGTGGAAGTCTCCATCTCCTTCTAGCTCTTTGACCTTCTCCTCTTGATGCGGCGTCAGATCGATGGAGCTCATCAGCACATGCTTGTAGGCCTTCACAAACTCAGTCTTCTCGATGTGCACTCCCGCGCTCAACCGACCGAAGTCATCTCTATCCTGGATTGCAGACTCCAAATGCCCAGACAACACTGCACTGCACAATGCCTTCAGCGCCGCAACGTCTTTGCACTGAAGATCAAACCTCATTGTCAGAACACCATCCTCAAGCCTCTCCTCGCGGGGGCATGTTGCTACAACCTCACCATCTGGAAGAGAAGCACCGAAAGCTTCAGAGAAAATGGTGGCAAACTTCTCCACTGCTTCGCTCTCATGCCGAACACGGTCTGTTGTGAGTACTTGGTTTGTCCGCTGACACCGCACTTTCCACTGCAGGCCATCAACTCCAATGATGACTCCTCTTTTCCATTCATGCCCATCCAAAGCAGCAACTGTGTTGCCAGGAGAAAAGGAGTCCTTGAGAAATTCGGAGACATCAACTTCATCGTAGTCCCATGCAGCACCTTCTAGTTCTCTCATGTCTTCTATAATGGCCACTTCGGCCTTCTGAGACCCGCCGAGACCTCTGTTCTTGGGGTCCGAATCCCAGAGAGACACATTCGGGTCTTGCAAGTCTTTCATCGTCACTTTACCTTTCCCGACCATGCCGGGATAGTATACGACTTTGAGTCGCTGACGTCTTTTCACTGCTTCCTTCATGTGTCCAAACCACACCTTAGCTGCGAGGCCCTCCACGCACTTTCTGATGTTCATGATGTTCATGCCAAAAAACAACAAAACGTGTGCTTAGCGCAGCGGGATGTAGCCAAGTGCAAGAAAGAAACATGAAGCCAAAGGCAACCCCAGGCTGCAACCCGACCACTCTGGTTCCAGCGCCTCTTGGCCTCTCTGATCGCGTGAGTTTTCTCTTCCTCGCTGGCATCCTCCCGAACCAGGACGGCATTCATGGCCTCCGCCACTTTCTGTGCGTTCGCCATCTTCTCACCATAGGGCGCCCCAATCCAATGGATGTATCCAAATCTCGGAACTCACAGGGGGGCACAATCCCCCAAAAGAACACACCGTCTTGAGACAAAGTGTAAATGTCAAGCTCTGGGCAGGGATCAGTTACATTCTGAGTCTCCATGAGATCTGTTTGTAATTTGGCTTATTCTAACCACAAGTTGTTTTCTTACATAATTGTGGTTAGCAAACTGTTGGCCGTGTGTCATTCCTAGCATTGGTATAGGCCACTGGTGGGTTGTTGCATTTTCTTGCCAGTAAGTTATCATCATGCCGCATGCCCATGATGCCCCACGCCATTGTCAATCTGTTTCAGCTGGATCTTACCAAGCACTGGTGCAGCCAGTGGTTTTTGGCTTGTAGGCTGTCAAATTTACTGTTCGTACTCAACATGCCATCGCAAAAATTGGTGGTGGATGTCCAAGCAATCCATGGGTTAGTGGGATCTTTCATGTTCATACCACCCCGCTAGTTTGGGAATTTGGGAATTGCCCCGGCGTATGCACCTCTTTGGCCAAAATACAAGCTACTTCCTTCTTGGTACAAATCTATTCCGAAAATTCCTGGAAACTGTGCTATGCTAGGGATTACTAGGGCGCCTTCATAGTTTCAATTTCAATAGAAAAACAAGAAATACTTGGAGTGACCCCCCACCCTCAAATACGATTTGGAAAACATGTGTTGTGACATGTGTTCTGTCACTTATTCTGGCATTTGCTCTAGCATCACGTCTGACAAGTCAAGTGCTCCAATATGTGTTCCGGCATCTATTCTGACATCTGTTTCGCCATTCGTCTGACAAGTCCGCCCACAATTCTTCTGATATGTGTTGTCGATGTGCTCTGGCATGCATTCCGCGTGACGTTCCAAAATGTGTTCTGAGATCTGTTCTGTTCTGACATCAAGTATGCCATGCGTTCTGACAGGATGTTCCCATGTTTGTTCTGACATGCGTTCTGTCGCCTTGTGGCTGCCATTTCTTCGGACAAGTCCAGCGCACAGGGAAGTCCAAGGAAGGAAGTCTGGAGAGGAGGAGGCAGCACTTTCTCAAAATCTAAAGACTCTCATCTCACATCTCGCTTCTTCCCAGTATGAACCTAGTGCACCATACGCTAAAGTTGGAATCAAATCTCGGACATCCCTGAGAGGACAACCTGAACTAATTGAGGTCGGGAGGGTCCTCCGCACATGTGAAGAAGAACTGCTCATCGAGTCATCAACTCATTCGCTGCGATCCAAGGCACGTCTGATAATCTCTGTTCGAATCATTGCCCTCACCGTAGATTCTTCTACAGTAGCAACGTCCTTTGCTATCTTCTGGGTCAGGGTGGTGACTGCCCAAGCCATCCTCTTTCTTGCAAAAGTAGACGCAAGCGACACTCTGATCGCCGAACTCACCGACATCACTGGAGAGCGCCTCGAATCCAGTTTTGAACTTGCCTGGGTAAGATGCATAGCAATACTTAGCTCCGGGTTTGATGCGACCAGCGAACGTTTTGTCCGCCATGTTGCTGAGCACGGACGGCGTCTCCCTCAGCTTGAAAGTGATTCGAAGTGGCAAGCACAAACTAATAGGCTTCTTCATCTTCATGAAGTCTTCCAACTTCTGCTTCTCCTTGAGGAGGAGGGTTTTCACACCTTTTCCCTCAACATCTGTTCTAGTTACTTTCCTCGCGCTGCTTCACCCATCTCCCGTCCCACTAGTGCGCCTTCGGAGAGGCGAAGAGGATGTCCAAGAAGTCTTTCACACCTCAATGAGCCGCTTAATCCGCGCCAATCCAGTCTTCCCGGAAACTAATTGAGATATGTTAGTCAGTTGGTTTTCCAGCCTTTTGGAAGGGATCCTTTTGAATCGTCGCGTCTTCGTGCCTTTTGCTGAACAACATGCCTGACTGCCCAGCCCTGCAAGCCAGGCTTGGCCAAACCCTGCCAAGCTGCGTATCCACGAGCCGTACTCCTAGAACGAACATGAAAGGAAGGCAAAAGACATGCACTTGCACTGGTATAGCTTGGTTTGCCTGTTCAAGCCCCGTTGTTGTGTGTTTGGGTAAACTCGAAGCCGCAAATGGGCCTTTGGCTCCAAGCAGTGTTCGCTTGCCTCGCAACTTGACTTGATGACTAGACATGTTAGTTGCCTTTCACATGCTTGAAATAAACAACAGTGCTGACTGGCTGCCTCCGGCTGTTTCACAAAAACAACCCACACAAACACAATCCACATTAGTTCCCCAGATCAAAACAAATGGGAGCAGCTTGCCCAAGGTTCTTCTCGCACCTTCCCACGCTCTTTTCGCTGTTTCTCCTTGAGGAAGGATTTGGCCTCCTGCAATGTGCACCCCACGGACTGCAGCGAATCGATGCAGCCTTGGGACTTCACACCGCGGTGGACAAGGGATTGAAATGCATTGAAATTGGTTGGCCGCAGAAGCCGTGTTAAGAAAGAACCCCTAGAGTACCCACAACTCCGGTTACATAAACTGAAATGACAAGCACTACTGTAACACGCAGCCCCATGCCCACGCCCATGTGGTTGCACTTCCATGTCCCAATTTTCAAACATTCACTCCAAGGAGCTCTGCCATGGGAGCCATTCTGAGCCTTTCAGCTTGGACTTGAACATCGCCTCCATTCGGCGCCTCAAGTCCTTAGCTGAGCACTGCCGCGCGTGGACGCCTGATTGCACCAAGAAACGATGCAAAAGGTTATGCGGCCAAGGAACTTCTGCCAGAATCTAGTTGGTGATAACCAAGCATCATTAGCAGCAACCATTTTGGAGAAAAACAAAAGCAGAAGCAAAAGGAAAGCAACCCGAATAGAACCCGCAATGCAGGCCCCAAACAACTCCATCTGCTGTATCTCCTTGCAAACCCCTTCTGTCTACTTCCTCTGCCAGGCCACAACCTCTTTTGCAGGGCTTCCTGAGTCCTGCGAATGAAGCTACACGGGGTAAGGGTACACCAAAACGCTTTCCGCCACATAAACGGCTTCATGGCTATCTTTCCCATGGCATACATCTGAAAGACTGTCCTTCCATGTACGTTGCATTTTGCTTTATAGTAAAGCCACGACATGCTGATGATGCCATGATTTTGTGGGAGGAAAGTCCTTCCCCGAGTGGCGATGTAAAACCATCGCACCAGCGCCACCAGACCAATCAGCTGGAACAGAATCGGGATGCAAAGTTTCTATTCCTCTATCGCCCTCGAAATGCTTCTACCTATCAATGGGATAATATTGCCTTCATGATCAGTGGTTCCATAGTTGCATGTTTAGAGGGAATCTATTCAAGAGCTTGGAGATTGATTGCGACTTAGAACTCAAACAACTGCCAAACACGGACAGCCACAATTGTGCTCCGTACCATTTTGTTGAGGAGGAATGAGGAGGACCAGCTTTCAAGGGGAACAGGGTCGATCTGGAAAGCGCCAAAAGTGGTCGATTTGGAACACACTAAAATGTTGATTCCTTCTACTTCTACTGTTGCAATGCTGCGTTCTACGAAGTGCAGAACCTATGACTCTCAACTCTCCACCCACATGTTGCGACATCCAGCCTGCTCAACATGTGTCTTTACATCTTCACCAACTTCTCTGGCCTGGCTCATGCAAGCCCACCGCTCCAAGCAATCACGTGTTCGAAGTCTCCGAGCATGGCTGCAAGCCATTTCATTTGAGCAATGTTGCATGATGCGGACACCTGACCATCACTTTTTGCGGTGAACAGCCAAGTCTGTTGCCCGATACTGAATGCAACTCCATTGCCACATCGGCACCAAACAAACAACATAAAACTTGGGCCGTGGGCCTACAGCACAAAATCTATAGATACCTCACTAGACTAGTGTGTGGAACATTTCAAATAGACCAAATAGAAGATCCAGGCACACCGGCGCATATATCTAGGTGAGTTCTTGATATCATCCTTGTTCTGTGAAGTGCACTACCTTCGGTTCTCTACCTGCCTTTTCCCCAAACCAGCCTGCTCGATATGTTCCTCTTTACCTTCACCAGCTTCTCTTGCCTTGACCCCTTGCCACTCCATGGAATTACTTTGCAATAGCTGAAACAATACACAGACGTAACTATGGGTGATCAGCACTTGTTTACGCTCAAGAATGTGTCCACTGTTGGTCACTTGAGGCAAAATTAGGGGTGGAATGAAAGCTAGCTACAGCAGGAGCTACAGGAGGCATGCAACTGGAGAACAAGGATGGTGGCAACAAATGGAATCCTCATGACTCGTGAAGCCTGGGGGCGAGGAAGCCCCGTGTAGCAGAAAAGGGAGGCCCAAAACAGAGTGACTTAAGAAAAACGGAAGCCAAGCGTTCAGCAAAAATGAAGAAAATAACACCTTACTTTGTGATAAGCTCTTGTTATCGTACTAACAATACTAATCTTGTACTTACATGGTTTGCGAAGATTGCGCCGGTGATGAGATCCGGGCCAAAAAGCAATTGAAGGAGGCAGTTGTGAAATGCCAAAGCTGTATAAAGCTGTAGCAGTGACACTTTTCGTTTGAATCAAGGGCCAGGGTGCATGGCAATGAAAAATGATGGAACATGGTGGCTTCAAGGATGCACTAAAAGATTGTGTCTGGCAGCAGCTGGGGCTTGGAGTTGAGTCAAGTGAGCCAAAATGTCGATGATACAAATGTGGGCGATGATGGCATCATGAATAAGCAAAGGACATAAGGACATGCTGGGGCTGAACGCAAGGAGAGCGAAGACCTGAAGGAGTTGAAGCATGATGAGGTTTGGAGAGACGGTAAAAGACCAAAGAATGATAGGAATTGAACGCAATAGGCCAAGAGTTGCATGAAGAGAAAAGGGGGCCTGCAATATGCAACGGCAAAGAGGAACTGACTACGTGACTGCACTGGATCAAAAAGAAACTAACCCGGCAACGGGAGTCAAGAGGATTGAATTATCGCTGCGTTCAGATTGTATTAAACAGAGAGTTGCAGTACATATCAATCCTTTGAACCATTCCGTTTTGTGAAAACTCTATCTCTAGCTTTCATGACAGGGGTTAGCGAAGCTCAGTCCGATCACTAGGCAACACAGTTATTGACTGCATTCAAACAAGAAGTAAGTCACTCCGCGGCGTCAACCCTGCTGAAACTTCGAACAAAAGCTGTCGACATGGCACTCTGTCAGCATTATCACAAAGTGTTTTAAATGCTAGATTTGCGGGGTGGAGATGGCTGGAGCTTGCTGAAGCCCTGACTAGGTGGCGGTTTCTTCTAGCTGTCTAGCCGTTTCTGCCAGCTCTGTGCGCAACTTGGAGATCTTGGGTTTTGTCGCACGCACCGTCGGACCGAAGCACAACAGGTTGAGCTGGGGATGGCATCAGCATGCTGGGATGGAGAACAGCTACACGGAGGTTCATAAATCATAAATGATTTCAAACTGGATTGGAATAGCAGCGAGAGTCTTCCTATGAAACCGGCTGCTCCTTCCTTTTAGATTCACCTTCACAGCAAGGATAGAATCAACCTAAAATGAACCACGTACTGTTGTTCCCTCACCCACAAGCAATGAACCCACATGTAAGAACGCGGACTGAAGCCGCACACACTCCAATGTCTTCGCCCGCTGGGCCTTCTCTTGGGCAGCCGCTTCCGTGAGGCTTTCCGCTTTCGCTGCCGCATGGGCAAACTCATTCTGCCAGTGCTGCTCCCTTTGCTCGAACTGCTGAGCCTGCTGATCTGCACGCTTCTCTGACGCAACAAGAGCTTCTTTCAGCGAGTCGATGACCCCCTGCGCTTCCTTCAAGTCTTTAGCCTGGCGAGAAGCGTCGAAGCGTCTGTTGTGGTCTGTGCCAAGTTGCAACGCTGAGATGCCGGGCCCCATCGTTTTCAGGAAACAATTAAATCAAATCCCAGTTTGCACATCAACTGACCTGGCAAACCAACTCAGTCAAATGAGTCAAATGGGTACCGGGCGTGACAGCTGTCAAACAAGCCAGCGCAAAATAATCGAAACTCTGACATCTCGCCACTCTAGTATAGATCACAATTGGGGCACCTTGTTTCTGAACTCTCCAACAGGACAGTCACCTTTTAGTTACACATGGCTGAAGCCTTCCTGCAGTACGTCTTTCAACCAAGACTTGAACGTCGGGCCAAACAGTTGAAGTTACTAAGTTGCCCTTTGTTCGAGGTATACGTGCTTTGCCGTCAACAGTACGTCGACAAAGAAAACCCTTGCAAAACACAAGTTGTATGCCTTGGCCCCCCAAAAGGCGCCTTTCTCTACCGTGGTTGAAACTTTCAGGCGAAACACAAACATGAGAAAAATGTTCTGAGTTTTGATGTTCTCGGCTGCTTTTTTTCCTTTGGGTGACAAGTGCCGCATTTTGGTGTCATGTGTATTGTCACGCATGTATCGGCCCTTGAAAGAGTTTGACTTCTTTATGGTTGGCACATTTTCTATGGCGAAGGATGACTTGTAGTTGCCTCGCCTTTTCCACAAGCTCAGCGCACAACTCGTCCTGCAAGCAACGCTTCGATGTCTTGAATTTTGTCGAACCCATGTAGTGAAACACAATTCAGTTTAGCTGGAATCAGCCGGCTGAGAGACGCTCAACAAAATTCTGGGGGGCTCGTCTGGGGCTTGCGGTTGGTGTGGTTCCGGGGGTCGTGTGTGTGGTTGTGCGCGTGTGCGCTAACCCGCAGCCGGTGTAGTCCCGAGGACCACGTATACGACCGTACACGTATACACTAGAAAAAGTATGCCATCTTACATGTGGGGCTCTGGGCCTTGTGATTGGACTATTGGACTGGGGAAAGGGATCTTCCCAAGATTCTAGTTTCTTCCACTAACATAGTATGAGTAAATGATGGTCAAAGCAAAGCAGAAGCCAGCTTGGCTCACACCCCACAGGCACTGCGCTCAGGTGAAACGATCTTGATTTAGTCATGTTCACACCGCACACTCTCCAGTCTCTTCCGCAGTTCTGCCTTCTCTTGCGCAGCCACTTCCGCAAGGCTTTCTGCTTGCGCAAGCTCATTCTGCCAGTGCTGCTCCCTCTGAACGAACAGCTGCGCCTGCTGATCTGCACGCTGTTCTGATGCAGCAAAAGCCTCTTTGAGCGAGTCGATGACCTCCTGTGCTTCCTTCAAGTCTTTAGACAAGCGAGGAGTGTCTGTTGTGGCCTGAACCAATGTCGGAAACAAGAATCGCACAGAACACACCCAATGGCCCAAAAGTCTTGCCACATCTTGCCACCCAAGCAGTCTGGATGCCCACTCTTGCCGTTTTCGACCCAGTGTAACATCAGATGTTCTTTCCGCTGCGTGTCTTGGCAATTCATGCGCACACGTTTTGAACCTCTCGCACTTGAGATGGTTCGCAACTTGATCCATACCCTGCAACAGTACACGTCCCAGCCTGCAAAGCCCCTTCTGGTCTTTGGGCCTGCAAACAAAGGCTGCATAAGGGGAAAGAACCACATGGGCGCTCAAGCAATTCACCTGAAGAAAAATGCAAAATGCGATTTTGGAGATGTTCTTCGCGCTCAGCCCCATAGGGTGCAAACCTCCAGAATGCTGTAGGCACTTCCATTGTATGATATGATTTTTATGCAATGGAAAAGGCCATTATATATATATATATATAACCCTACTACTTACTGCAGGGGAGTGGAAATGGATTGATGGTGGGGGCAGCTGCCCCAGCTACTTTCTTGTCGCAGATCCAGTGACTTCTAGATGTGCAAATCTTATTCCGACCATCTAGAAAGACCCACGCTTTAAGTGCACACCCTCTGGTGCAGGCATGGGGTTCATTGACGAATACCGATACCTCCCAACCGACGAACACGTAGCAGTCTCAGGTTTTGCTATTTGACTTTTCCACGGAAAGCCTTGTCACTTGTGGCGGATAAGGCCTAAGGCGCCCAAGGGCCAGAAAGGGAAGGACGAAGTCTGAGGTGGATTGGTGGGCTGTTTCTGGTCTCAGACCCATGTCTTCATCTGTCGTCACCTTATGAGACCTTCACAAGCGGCCAGCCCATGCCAGCCCAGGGTCTTTGTTTCCGGGCGCTGGTTCCACAGCATTCACCACTTCATGCTTCTCCCTCCAAGTGACCATCTGATGTCCTACAGACCTGTAAGCATTGCTCAGAGAATCTCAGAGATATTCTAGGCAGTGCTTCTCACACGACCAGGCCGCTTCCAGCTATTTCACATTATTTCAATATCTTTTGGAAGGTTGCCAATGTTCCACAGCAATTGGTAAGGTTCATAATTCTCTGAGCCTCATCCATGTCTCGAATCTTGGGGCTTCTTATACTCAGAGCCTTCGCTATCATTTCTCTCTGCTGCTCTTGCTGTGAAGAGCAAAATTGATCAATCGTCGTTGGTCCCTTTGACTGTCTTTAGTCACTTTGATCGTTGATAAAGAAAAATCTATACATACAATATATCATCTAAGCTCACTCGCCAAATTGTTTCAATTCACCGTATACACCATAGACTGTGTACGCACATCTGCGTGTCTCCCCACCTCAATCTTCATCCTCGTGGCCATCCCACCTTTCGCCCGCTCGCTTTCAGGGTCCTGCATGTGAGGGAACATCGGATATTGAATAAACATGAATGAACATGGTGTTGCGTGTCCAACAGAATCAAAAGCAGAACCCCACGTCAAAGTGGCCCCGTCGGAGTCACAACCGACTGAAGACACGGTTGACACCATACATACATGACATGTGTTCACTCCCCCGTGAATGAGAACTGTGACCCTCAAACCACATACAATGTATGATGCAACCTGTGCTTTGTCAATTGCAGCTGAATCACATAAATTCTCCTAACAGCCAATGCCCAAAGAGTGCCCCAGCATCACAAGGCCCAATCAAAGGGACTGAAGAGGGTCTCACGCAAAGCAATCCATATGTTAGCGTAGAATGCATGCTCAGCTCATTCTTGAGCTCCCTCTTCAGGACCATGTGAAGCCCACTGGCCTGCTTCGCTCCAAAACGGTGGATGCCCAAGGCCTGACGCATAGCTTTGAGCTCTCCCAGCGTTCCTTGGGCCAGTATGTCAGGCTGTGCTTCCTTTTTGCACGAGGAAGGATTTGTTCAATTTGAAACAGGAGCGTCCTGTGGCTTTGGCATGCCGTAGCAGCTGTAGGGTTGGGGGTTCCCACTTAAGTGGCAGGCAGGATGGATTTGGGAGTTTCGAGTTCCGGAAACTACCACCATCATCCCACCATCGACAATCAGTCGGTTTCATAGTAAAGTCTTAGTGAAGTGAGAAAGCAAAAAACTCGCTTGTCGACATCTTCTTCCCCCCTTTAACCTTTGCTAGTCAAGCACCAAGGCACTCAAGGCACGGCTCCGCACGCGGTGGCTGCCAGATAGGCACAGGGCCACGTGGCGGACCTCACAACCAAAGCACGTTCAGGCTGCTCAGGACTACCTGATGGATCCTAAGAGCCTTGCCAGAATCCCTAAGCTGCTGGAACGGGAGGGCATTCGAACGGACGGCTTTTGTCTGTTGACCGACGCCGATGGGGGGTTTTCGACCAAACAGTTTCGACACCAAAGCCGATGCCTGGGCTTCCCAACCACCAAATCCTTATGGGATGGGCTGATGTTGGGGCCTCAATCACTGCCATCGCACTCGTCGGTGTATTAGATACAGTAAGTGCTTCTTTTCAATGACGGTCGAAGAAAGGCCAAGAGCAATGGTCATTATATAGTAAATATACCACAAGTCCCTCGCTCCGTGGCAGGGGTATAGTAGAGCTGATGATTCTTCCACCTGGACCTCGCTTCCCTCGGCCACCGAACCGACCTTGCCGAGGGCCGACAAGGCCGCCCGGACACAAACATCTTCAACTCGCTGTAGCATCTGTATCAGGCCCTGCGCAAGCCCCCAAGTGTCCAGTCAGTACGGCAAACAGCCGAATGGAAAAGCCAATGGGTGGCCGAGACGAAGGACAAAACTGTGCGGCTTGGACAAGATCTTTCAATCTCTCTTGAACTGTTCTGCTGATACCTCCGGTTCAAGTGCCCATTACAAGATCCCTTGAGCACCAATCCTCTCCTCTTCGTGTCCTTCAGCGCCCGCAGCCGCCAAAAGCTCGGCTGCAGTCGAGGCCACTTCCGCGTCCTGGTGCCTGACATCCAAAGCGATTCAAGCTCTTTCAGTTTGAACCTATACAAACTCACAAACTCACTTGACACGTTGTATTCTTGCCTATCATCGTTCCGGCACGGTTGTCAGGCTTGATGTCACTTGTGGTCGGTTCAGAGTTGTAATTTGGACCCGTGAGCAATGATGCAGGGGAGCTTCTCAGCGAAGGTGGTGTCAGGATTGCTGCGGAACCTTAAGGCTGAAGGAGGTGGACGAAAAGTCGCAAGCCACTGCATGCGAGTGCAAAGGTGTGTCTTGTGGCTACCGTGCGTCTAAGTGAAGAGATGGACCAAGGAATGCATGGAGGAATCTACTCGGGGCAACGTAGCAATGTGGTGCACACTCGCCTGATGATCTGATCTGGCAAGCGGTCAGGCCATGATGAAACGCTATTCCACTTAACAATGGGATACTGTTTCATCACAATATGATGTGGTGTGGCAAATGCATGTATAGTATGTGTGTGTCCTTTCAACTGACCGTTTCCCCCCCGTGTAACACTCATTATATAAATTGCACGGCAACGTTCACCCGATCATTAGACCGACTAAAAGGGTCGTCTTTTGTTTCGTGGCGTGACTCGTGTGGTGCTGGCGTACAACTATCGTGGTGCACGGTCAATAAATGATGTGTACCTTTCACATACGATGCATTCAAAAGCCTCATCATGTGGGACGTTATGTGCTGATATTTCACTATGTGATGCGGGAAGTCGAATGATGTGGTGCATTGCTACTCGTTGAAGTGATCGAAGTCGCCCGTTAATTCGACTCCTTCGGGAACCAAATTAAGCCCACCAGCATGGGTCAAAGCGGGAAGGCCCTTCCCTCCATGAACCGACAAAATCGGGAACTCAATGGAATGCACACGCTTCATCAGCCTCATGCTACCCTTTTCTGGCCTCAGCAAGCGGCCAACGTGCTCCAGGACCTCGGCTGGGTGGGCTTCGCAGTGTTCAGATCTTGTTTTTGGGTGAAATGGGTGTGGTTCCGAGATCGGAGTCACATTCAGCAAATGTGATAGAAAATATCACAAGTGTTTGCGAGTGATAATGAAAGTGCTGATTATGCGTAATACTAAAGTGTGGCATGCATGCTACCATCCTTGTCTGAAAGACACAAGAATAGCGTGGAGGTTTATCCAACATCTGCCACATACTCGGCAGCAGCGCGAGAAGGTGTTCATCTCTGGTGACCACGATAGATGGATGATCAATGACAAACTCCGACCATCTCCGACCCACAGCCTGGAGTGACTCTATGGTGGCTTTGCCAGCACAGATCAGGAGGTGCAAGACTGGCAACACCTCTTCCTGCACCCGAAGAGTTGCTCAGCAAAATTTGGGCGTGCGGCATACGCGATCTCATTTCGCCACACATCACGTTGGAATTGGCAACGCAGGAAAGTTGAAAGCAACAAACGGACATTGAAAGCCTCGGCAATCAACCAGGGGGCCTTGTTGCCACTGCGAAGTACCGCAGCAATGTTGTCACGGTCAAGACCTGGGGATGCCTCAATGCAAGAAGGCGCAACGACTGCGCCCACTACAAAGGAGGAAGCACTATCGTCTCTATCGTCTCATGGCGGGAAAAGAAGGACTGTCTACTTGCCAAACTGCCATGTTTTTCAATCGACTGGGAAGCTTGCAGCAGCTAATTGAACAAGCAACCAGCCAAAGGAACAGCTGCCAGAAGGGGGTCTGTGACATGGTCTGTAGTAAAGCAATACCAATGTTCAAGACTGGTTTCACAAAAATTCTTGGCACATTGCATGTTGATGCATGTTGTCGGTCAAGAAGAACCAGGGCACGACTCGACCTTGGTGTGAAAGCAGCTGACAAAAGCATCACAAATGCTAAGCAATCATCCCCACTAAGCACGTATGAAACCTTCGATTGCCGTCATTTTCGGCGCAAATTCTCTTCAATCCAAGTCATAGTGTATTCAGTGTATTCCAAATCAAGGATGGGACACCCTACTTGTTGGGTGTGATAGCAATCACTCCCTTCATATGCAATGGACAGTCCTGTTTACCAACACACAGTAATTAAACCATATCGAATCAAGTGTGCCTCCTTAAATGGTGCGCTCTATACAGGCTGATTTCTGTGGAAGCAACAGAACCTCTTGCGGCACCACAATTGGTCAGGCAAAGAGTCTTTGCGACTCTTGAATGATTCTGATGTGCTGCTTGATCAAATCAATACCAGCAACTGAGTCTCTAACAGCCCTCGGAAAATGGAATACAACTCATGAAGTATGTTGAATCTACCAATGGTTCATATATCAACAGGTTCCAGGCAATCTCCAAAATTCATCGGGATGCAGGGTGATGACTCACTCAACAAACCAAGTTAAGTGGCCAACCCAATCAGATGAAAATGGCAGAAGCGGATCGGTTTTGGTGATGTTTTCGGCAAACTCTGCGAACCGTGCGACTGGACTTGCGACCAAGGTGCTTTTCTTCACGGAAAAGTGCTGCTCGTTTCAAGCCCTTGGGCTTCCATGGACGAAGCAACTGGCTTTCACAAATCATTTCAATATGTTTCAATCTCACGCGATATTAACAGGATTCAGATAGAAATAAATTGAGTGTAGGATAGTGTATATAGGTTATACAATATATAGTGGTCACTCCGGCTTCCTATGCGGTGAACCTGAGGTCGCTTAGCTCAGCTGAGAGACAGATTGCATCATCTGACTTCAGAAACATGGATTTGGCTGACTGTATGTGCTGGAGCCGCGGATACATGCCTCATCTCACACGAAAACCCTGCAGCGTCAATCCCTTGCTCAAAGCAAATAGATTCGGCCGGATGTTCAGGGCCAAACGGAATCCTGCAATGATATTGGCGATTAAAAGCGTGCTGTATCAACATGGCTTTGTGGCTTGGTTTTGATCCTCTCATCATAGACAAAAAAATACCTCCAGTGTTCGCTCCAAATGAAGCACTGGTCAATGATTGCTATGGAGTGTGCATCCTGAGGTGGACGACCCATTGGCAACCCACTCCACTTCCGAACTTGCTCCCGAGGCCCTTAGCAAATTTGTGTAAGTTTATACAAGCTCGTTGTGTAATACCACGCCCGGCACACCGCCTTGCAAAAGAATTCAGGCTTGGGCGTGCGCGGGTTTTCGTGTTCCAGTCCCAGTCTTTCTGAATGGTACAGTTGGATCTTCTGCATTGATATGGGGCTGGATACCGAAAAACGCCGCTGGAGACTGGAGAGGGTGGGGAGCACTCCTGGTGCCGCCATGACAATCAATCTCGCAGCGCAGCATCATGGCAACAGAAAAGCGAAAGAACCCAAACATATCCAAACATACAAGAATGAAAGCAAAACACACCTTGCAGGCAAACTCATAGGCCTCTTGAGTGGGCCATCACGAACAAACATTGGCGTTGAGCCGAGAAGCAGGATTCTCGTCATTTTGTTGAGCTCGCCATTTTTCAATGATTCGACTGTTCTTCCTTCCTGTACAGAAGGGAAGGATCCCATCAAATCTTCGGTCCCTAAGATCTGGTTCCAACAGCATCGCTGTCCATACCAGGAATCTGAGCGCCCAGGTCACAGGAGGCCTCGGCATGGTGGCCATGTTATAGGTTGCTCGAAGTCCGTCTGGCATAGGTTGCCTTCCTGCAGTTGGTGGTCCCCGAAGTTTGGAAGCCCAAGGTCAAAACATCTCGGGTGCGCTGACGTGCCCCAACCTCCTAAGCAACCATACAGTGCAAACCCAGGGTTTGCTTGTGAGTCAAAACGAGTCAGCCATAAGGTTTTACATAGATTGACCTCGGTCCATCTACAAGGCTACGACTGTTCGTGGCAAACAATAAAAAGCTGTCCCAAACTGCCAAACCCATGATGAAAGCAGAGTTTGAGATTGTCCACCAAGAGCAAAAGCCACATCATGCTTCGCAAGTCGTCATATCTTATAGGGACCGCACCACTCGTGTCTTTCACTTCTTCAAACCTGGCCCCACATCAACCGTCCTCCCGTCCTCCCGTCCTCCACCCAGAACACTTCCATCACTTCAGGGCCCACGCTGTGAGCGGGACTCGGTTCGCTCCGGACCGTCAGGAGGAGCCACTCTTCCGCGCCATCATCTGCGCCTTGGCGGATCAAGATGGCTCAAGGTCAAAGCCAAGGATTGTCGAGTTCGAGGATCTTTGCAGGGAACACGTGATCAACGGGGTGGCACTCCCCAGTCCCACTCACAAGGACAGAAAGTTCATGAAAGTTCTCAAAGTTCACACAAAACCCATAGACAATGGACGGTGAGCATCAGCGCTTGCAAAGGAGTTCATCTCTTGCTCGCCTACTGTCCTGTGAACTTGAGAGGAGGGAGACACGAAAGGTAGGACAGCGGGAAGAGAAGAGAACGCGAGAGGCAGGAACAAAAATGCAATGTTCGACATGGTGATTTATCCCCTCGGAGGCGACCTTTAGTAAATATATGTTCATTTGCACTCTAAATGTTCAAACATATGCTCTCGAAATGTTCAAACAGATTCTTAGGAAAACAAACTTGCCCCATGGCTCAGATCATCGGTGAGCATTGAATCGGAACATCATAGGATTTGAACTATCCTGAAACCATAAGAGGCTCACGAAGACGCTCCCCAGGAGAGAATTGACGTGCTTCACAAAACAAACTCTAGGTATGTATCCCCTC